TTTCTTTGTCAAGTTTTATTTTTGTATATTCTTTGTATGCACTATTTAGAGGCATTCTTTAGTTAGAGAACTACAGCACTTATTTCACACCATTCACATGTATAGAAAGGAGAATATACCATAGGAATTTGTAGAGGGAGGTGTATTGTAGCACTGCACACTAACAGCCCTTTCACACTCCATAGAAACCACATGGTAGCACAGCAGTTTGACTCTCCCATTCATACACACACACCTGTGGCCATTGCTAGCAGCAGCCTTGAGATTGATAGGTAAACCACTGTGCAGGATTTTCTAAGTTTACATATTCCTTCTTTGCACTTTCATTCTATCTGTAAATATTAATAGTGGTACCAAATTTATTGAGCTTTATTATTAGAAGTGACATGTACTGAACTTGATTAAATTATCAGTGGGGTTTATTAGAAGATATGAGGGATAACTAGCTCACACACAGCTGTAAAAGGGACTTTGCATATTTATGCCTTGAGGGTAATGACTTTATACTTTCTTTTATCTGGGTGGGGACACATGTTATATCAATAATTCATGTATTAGTCATACTGATTATTTCCGTGAGTGATCAGACACAGTTAATATACATAGAGTTCTGGCCACAGTTTGGATACTGGTTACAGACCATAATTATTTTATTGTGTTGCTGTGGTAGAATGTTGGTAGGCTATAAATAAGCCTGGTATATTGTTCATATTCCCAGTGATGGCACCATTGGAATGACATCACCAACCCTGGCTGTAGATCAGTTCCAGGATATTTGTCAGTTCGTCACCAAATTATATGTTATTTGAGCCTTGTGTGTTATGATGTTCTGATAGTGTGACAGGTAACAAGAACCACTCTGAGGAGTTAACAAGGCTTTTTGACAAAATGCAGCATCCTCTGCACTGCAAGGGACTCTAATCTAATATGGCACTTCTGGCTTGTATTAAGTTAAGCCAAGTCGATAGTAATCAGCTTTTTGTCCATTAAAAAAACAGCTTTTTGCAGCCACCTGCAGGCTTAAAAATTGCATTTCTTTTAATTGGTAAATGCGTGTTAGTGATGGAAGCTAAATAGCGGAAAAGAATGCTCTGATCTCCACCACCTCTCCTCTTACTCCTTCATTCTCTGTCAGTCCCTTTATTTGCTGGCACCTGAACAGAAAATATATTTCAAGATGATAACGTCAGCCTACAAAGCTCTCTCCAACCCTCCCCTCCACTCATAGTCTCACTCACTAATTTCTAGACATTTCCTCATGTCCAACCTCTGAACAATACCTTACACTTTCTAATCACACTTCAGTCTTCTAGACCAGTGTTTCACAACCTTTTTCCAGTCAAGGCATCCTCCAAAATTATGGACAGTCTCAAGGCATTCTCCAAAATTATGGACAGTCTCAAGGCATTCTCCAAAATTATGGACAGTCTCAAGGCATTCTCCAAAATTATGGACAGTCTCAAGGCATTCTCCAAAATTATGGACAGTCTCAAGGCATTCTCCAAAATTATGGACAGTCTCAAGGCATTCTCCAAAATTATGGACAGTCTCGAGACACTCTTTAAAATTATGGACAGTCTCAAGGCACCCCATTCTAAAATGTAAAAAAACTATTCTAATAGTTTTAAATAATGCAGCGACATCTACACATGTAGGACACCCAACATTAGAGGTGATTTATTTTTCCAAAGCAGATACACTTTTGCACACTGGTACTGACTAGTAATCCAATGTTTCTCTTCTCCCTCAGTTTTTCTCCATTGCTCAGCTAATGTGACCTCAGCACTGACAGAGAGAGACAGGGGACGGTCAAACAAGGATTCTGTGCAGGCAAGATCCTGCTTATCAACTGGTGATGTAATTGGTTGTCAGAACGCTGGTGGCTAGAAGGTCATAATGGTGCACAATAAAAACCTCTGGCTTTGTGTAACTAAAGGGCACTCTTGTATACAAATTTTGGGCAATTTATAGACATTTTTCCAAGGCATCCCTGAAGATACCTTAATGCACCCCAGGGTGCCTGGGCACCCTGGTTGAAAAAGGCTGTTCTAGACTGCTCATATGCCTCTGTCTTCTCTGGGTCTCACTTCCGCTTCCCATTTGTCACTCTCCAAGCCAGAAATCCACCCTTAAGAGCTCTTTCACACAGATGAATCCGATCAGACCACTCACTGTTCTCTATGGGAAGGCGGATATTAACATTTTTATCGCAACCTGGTGCTCTGTTAGAGCCTTGCTTGCTTGTTTTACTAGTGACAATTGTTTCTCCACACAGGAAGTGAGGAGCAGCAGCATAGACCAAAATCCCTGCTAGCTTTTTTATTGCTATCTGTATCATTGTTGCAGATTTTCCTTACACACTGTCTAATGAAAGCATTGTAAGGGTGACAGAAAGTAAGGGTAACTCTAATGGAGCCCCAGATAGTTGTAAAAACCCAACAAACATTCTGATTTTTGCCCATGCTAGTCATCATGCTGAAGGCAAATGTATCTGTATTAGTGCACTTGCTACAACACAGTTATGTATGTATGTGATACTTTTTTTTTATATTTGCACTAAAAGTTACATTTGTGGGACAAGCTTTTAGGGTGTTTACTGCTTTTTTCTAAGGTACTGTGTTGCTTGGACCTTAGAAGAAAGGGCTAGGCACCCACACAGCTTGCATGAAAACTAAAATTTTCTTAATCATACAGGAGAATAATTCTTAGATCTAGGAGTTACGCTCTACTTCAAAGTAGCAAAATAGCAAAAGTGGCAAATAGCAAAGCTTGACTCTTTCCTGCATAACCTCTCCCACTCCCAGCATTTTGTTTTTTTTGCTAATGTCTATAGATGATGGCCCGATTCTTTTGACTGAAAGTGTTTTCTACTTTGATACACTACATGAAGATTTAAAACTGCTTTTGGCTGCTAAGCCTCAGTGCTCCAGAGTAGCTGCAGTTATCCACATCAATCCCTAGATATTTTTCTATTTGTATAGGTACCATGAAGTGAGGAATGGAGACGGCCTGTAGGCTGGTACTAGCACTGGATCCTGCAACAGGTGCTCACTAGGCAGGCAGTTGCATTCTGTGAGTTAGCTGGCGGGTGCTATATAGGTCAAGGATCATAGTCTGTTGTGGCAGAACCCCGTCCTGAAGACCCAGAAGGGTACACCTGACCTGGAGAGGTGAAGATTAAGCCATTACGCTCTGTAAAATTCAAAGTAAGAGTTTCCTGAAGACACCTGATTGGTAAAACTCATTTTAATAGGTGGCCGTCACTTCCGGCTCCATAGTGACGTCACATGCAGTGCAGTGTTTCCGACCATTGGAAAACATGCTGGATCTAGTGATCCATTGGCTCACTGTTCCATTATACTTATGTTGCACATACTGGAGCCTGTATCCAAGGTACTTGAAAATGTAAGTAGTGTCTGTTTTTATTTTCTGGTGGACCCTATATTTTAGTCAATACTACACTATATATACACATTTTCATCTTTTGGCATTTCTTTTTGGCAAAATAATGAGGATGTGGCTAAATCTGACTGAACCAACAAGAGTCTATTGTGGAAGTATGAAAGAAACAGTTACTGGGTGATACATCAGAGCAAAGCGTATATTGACCTTCTAATTTAAAAGAGGTCAATGATCTTTGGTGATCATGGTTAAAAAGAAAAGAGACACAGGTGTACTTTTATTTAGTGTTGGGATATCAACATTGGACTTTATTTTATGATATTTGGATTCGGACTGTATTGTATATTTATTGGATTATATTTTAAATTTGGTTATATAAACTTTGTTGTGGATTAGGTTTGAGGAATATCACATGAAACACGTGCACTTTACTAATTACTATAGGTTTAAAGGCGTTGCACACTTTATAAAAGCACAGCCACACAATTGATATTATTGGAGTTGTGCACCTTATATAATTTGGTATTGGTAACATTCAAGATAAATTGCCCCTGTCTGGAGTTCCTAGTGTTGGTTTCTACCTTGGAGGCTTTGAGAAACTTGGGTGAAGTAACAATTATTCTCACCATGTGTGGGAGCTGCAGGGAGCTGTCAGCTGGAGCTCATGGCAATTTTGCTTACTTTTCAGCACTGGACCCCCCCTCTTCAGGGGATTGCCATTCCAATCTGACAATGCAAGTGCTCTACATGAATCATCAAGGTAGAACAAGGAGTCAGGCACCTCTTCAAGAAGCAGTGCTCATTCTGACTTGGATAGAACTTTATGTTACAGCCCTGTCTGTGGTGCTTATTGCAAAAGTGCAAAATTGGCAAGGGAATTTAAGAAGTGTTGATGCTTTGTGCTTCAAGTCTCCTTTTTCCCAAGTCTGTGAGGTTGCCACTTGGTCTTCAGCACATAGTTTGCCAAATTTTACAATGTGGATGTTCAGGCCTTCGCAGACGCCGGCCCTAGTCAGAAGGTCCTTCAGGTGGCCCTGTGAGGACCTTCTCTGTTTATTTCTCTTTTTTTTATTGGTAATAAGTTGGTTGTTGGTTGTTGCTGGACAGCTGTTTGCTGTTTGCCTCCCCTCATGCAATTGCTTTTTGACATCCCAATGGTCTAAAAGTTAACTCTCCTGTGTCCTGTGCTGTATGATTAGGAAAACAGGATTTTGACTCTCCTGTAAAATCCCTTTCGTGGGGTACATCACAGGACACAGGTTGCTCCCCTCTTGTTTTAATGCTTGCAGATAAACTGAAGCAATGCTAGGAGTGGGAAGGGTTATGCAGGGCTAAGTCAAGCTTTGCTGTTTGCCAGGGTCCAATCACTTGGAGGTGGAGCATAATTCAATGATTTAAGAATTAACTATTCAGTGTTCTGTATTTATTCATATACTTCACTATAAAAACTATTATTTTTTGGATTTTAAGCATTTCTTTATATAGCACCAAGGGGATGGTGACACTAATTAAATCAATAATAATATTGTTAATAATAATCCAACAAAATGCACGTGGAGTGAAAACAAAAGGTTTGTTAACATGTCTCCTCCCTTCAGGTTCCCATAAGCAAAGAATGCACACGCGAAGTCATGAAACTGATGTACTGTCCATTGTGCCGGGGCCATGCTAATACAAAGCTGTGTGATAACTACTGCTGGAATGTAATGCTGGGATGTCTGGCTAATCAGGCAGATTTGGACTCTGAATGGAGAAATCTGATTGGTGAGTAGAAAAAAATATTTTTAATTCACAGATGGAGTTAAGCACTTTTTCCATTTGAGTTAAGCTCTTATCATTGCGATTCAATGCTTTCTGACTCTCAGGCCCAAAGTAAGATGAGGAATCCTTACATTTCTCTGACTTGTGTTTTCTGCATGCTTGTTCCAGGAATGTGACTCAAAAGTGTTGAAGCCAGATACACCAGGCAACTAGTCTGTTCAGGAGACTCGTAATGGCAGTACCTTGTATATTTCTCATGCCAGGAATAAACTAATAAAACATTCCAAATCAAAAACAACCATTTTATTTTGGGTGGAAGGGCAGTAGGCTGTCCACAATTTTGGAATAATTATTATTTACAAAGCCCAGGAATGCTAATTATGTTGCTAAGCATAGAGATAAGTGTGCCCCCTAGTGGCTACATATATGTATATGGCATATTAATAATGAAAATGTTTCCAAAAAGAATGTTAAGATATCAAAGACATGTCAGAAATTTATTCTCAGATTAAATAATAATGACAAAACAAAATGTTCACAGGACATTAGTCAGTTTGTGACCATTTGGCATGCCACATATGTACAAAAAAAGCCCTGTCCTTCCTTCCTTCTCTTTTTTTTTTTTATAAATGTTCCTATTTAGTCCCTTATTAACCCTTAGTTTACCCCAGAATCTATAACAGAAAGCATTTTTCATAGCTCCAAGTGGATACTGTATTACCAGTTTCATCAACATCTATTATGTCCTTTGGTTGGGCGTTTTTTGTCTGTATATGTATATATTTCCATTGATAACCATTTACCATTCCATATACTATCTGTACAGTTGAGTCTATCTTGCTCTAAGTTAGTGGCTGTAGTTCACCATTGCTGATGCCCGTGATGCCTTCTACGTCTTGGGCATCGACCCTGGCTTACTATAGCCACCCCTTGCTGATTTTAATTATATGCCTTTTTGTGTTTATATCTGACTAAACTTTTGCCATCGATGGGTGGTTTTTTAACCTAATAAAAGGGTTTCATTTTTATCTATATTTTCATTTTTTTGTACTGGTATGGTATGGTACCTTTAAAGCCCCATTTAGCTTTTTAGGTTAGGGATTTTGTTTCAATTATTCCATTAGGGGTGTGGTACCAGTAAAACCGTTACACAAGGATTGGGAGAATTATTTTCTCTCCACCTCCCACTTTCCCCTTATCCTTTACCCCAATTGACCCTAATTGACACCTTCTGTTTACATCCCCTTTTAGCTATTTTTTCCTGTTGATTTGTGTTTGTTTATTTCTATTTTTCTAAACATCAACATTTAAATATTTATTAAGTCATTTAAACTTTTTTTATCTGTTTTTTTTTTCTAATTTGTCTTTCGTGTCACAAATTTGAAAAAAAAAAAATTATTTAGTTTGTAATGAAAATAACATTTCATTACAAACTGTGAAATGCTTTGTACCCTAAACATAATTTTAGTTTAATGTGAAACTGCGCTGAGTGCCAAAAAAATCCAAACATCCAAACAGTGAAGCAATAGCTGCACTCAAAAAATACCAATACAAATACTCAATAAGTGATATCCAGTTGTTGTTGAGCTAATAATAGAAAATATACTAATAGTGAGTCATTAATAGTTTAAATGTGCTGCTACAAATAATATTAAGTCAAAATGCATGAAACACCAAACAATAAAAACGTCTTTTGATGACAAAATCCCGATTCCGATGAACAGCCGTGTCCACAATAATTCTCCACGTGTTTAGTGAAATAGAGACTGTCATGCCCACCACCACAAAAAACAAACTGCTCCTTACCGAATAGTTAGACCCCAGATTATAGGCGGTCTAACAGAGCATGATGCTGAACATATCTTGCTTGTAACATCCTAGATGGAAAAAAGGTGTCATAGACTTTCGGTATCTCTCCTCCTCTCTTCCTCCCTTGTTTTGATCCTCTGTATACATAATGGCAATTATGACTTGCATGCTCATTTGTCTTTGAAGTTTGTAAGAGGTTTTTAACCTATTTTAATAAATCATTTGTACGTTATCACATTATCTGGAGTATTATCCTTTTTGACCGAGTGCACAGAGGATCACAATAAGGGAGGAAGAGAGGAGGAGAGATACTGAAGTCTGTGACACCTCTTCTCCATCTAGGATGTTACAAGCAAGATATGTATCATGCTTTTATCAAGATATGTATCATGCTCTGTTAGACTGCCTATTATCTGGGGTCTAACTATTTGGTAAGGAGCAGTGTGTTTTTTTGTGGTGGTGGGCATAAGAGTCTCTATTTCTTTACAAAAGTGGAGGATTATCGTGGACAAAGCTGTTCCTCATAATTTTAGTTTAACAGGACAAATTTTAGAATAAGATGTATACTTTTTTTAAATACAGTAATGCTGATCAAAGTAGAAAAGTGATTTATTTTGGTTTTAGGTTCTTGTCTATGGATTGCATAAAAAAATAGAAAACATTTTGCAGGACAATATCACCAAAAGAGTCTCACATTTTTCTTAAAGTAAAGCATTTTTTGGTATACTTCTATGGATCACAGGAGTGCAGTTAGTTCCTTGAAGCCTGCTGTTGGCTGATGTCACAGAGCTGGTCTGGGCTCTGAAAAGATCCTGACCATAAGGTTGGGATCCTCCCAGAAGCCTGGTTCAGCAGCTGGCTGAGCATTTCAGCGAGCTCCTGAGAGCCTGAGCCAGCTGCTCCAGTTCCCTGTACAGCTTAGCACTCCAGGAGGGGCAGAGCAGAGAGCTGGAGACTGATAGCCAGAGCTCAGAGCCGAGGGGGTGAACTGAGCAATCACGGTGTTTGATCACTCATTTCACTGTACAGAGCCGGTGGGGAACAGATGCAACATCGGATCAATGCTGCTTCCACCTAGGGGATTATTTTTTTTCTAAAACCCATACTTCTCTTTTTAAATCTCATATACTGTTTGTATTACTGTGTTATCTTAAAGGATAAATATTATTATTATACAGTATTTATATAGCGCCAATAGTTTGCTCAGCGCTGTACATTATAATGGGAGACAGTACATGAGACAGTACAGTTACAATGCAATACACAAGGGGTTCGAGGGCCCTGCTCCTTGGAGCTTACAATCTAGGAGAGAGGGGAGAGTGGTACAGGAGGAAATAGCTGTGGGGGATGGAGTGGTGGGAAGAGCGGAGGAGATCAGCAATTAGGTGAGGGCAGGGTAGGCTTCTCTGAAGGGGTGGGTTTTCAGGGTGCGCCTAAAGGTGAGGAGGGTAGGTGACAGTCTGATGGATTGGGGTAGTGAGTTCCAGAGGATGGGGGAAGCCCTTGAGAAGTCCTGGAGATGGGCATGGGAGGAGGAGACCAGGGAACTGGAGAGTAGGAGGTCTTGTGAGGAGCGGAGAGTACGTTTTGGGTGGCAGATGGATATCAGGTCGGTGATGTAGTTTGGGGCAGTGTTATGAATAGCTTTGTACGTCAATGTTAATATTTTGAATTTTATGCATTGGGCAGTCGGAAGCCAGTGGAGGGATTGGCAGAGGGGGGTGGCGGATACGGAGCAGTTGGTAAGGTGGATGAGTCTGGCCACAGAATTCAGGATAGACTGAAGCGGGGATAGCCTGTGTTGGGGTAGGCCGGCAAGGAGGGAGTTACATTAGTCAAGTCGTGATATGATAAGGGAGTGAATGAGTTGCTTTGTAGTTTCTGGAGTTAGGAACATGCGTATTTTGGAGATGTTGCGGAGGTGGAGTCTGCATGAATTTGTCAGCGATTGGATCTGGGGCTGGAAAGACAGATTGGAGTCTAGAATGACACCTAGTACTCAGGCTTACGGGGGGGGGGGGGGCTGATGGTGGCGTTGTTGGTCGTGATGGAGAGGTCATTTGCAGGCTGGGGGGAAAACTAGGAGCTCGGTTTTGGCAAGGTTTAATTTGAGGAAGTGGAGTGACATCCAGTCTGTCATTCAGAAGGCTAGTGATTCGGGCGGAGACTGAAGGAGTGAGGTGAGGGGTAGAGAGATAGTGTCAGGTACCGACTGGCAGTGACTCTAGAGATCCACAAGCCAGGGTTCCCCAGAGCGCAGAGTCTAAGCCCCAGTCTGCTTATTCACCAGAGCCCCTGATGGTGGGGATGGACTTGGAGCAGGCTGAGACCAGTTCGCAGCCCCTGAGTACACCCAGCTGTGGTAGAGGTAAATGCCAGTGGTATGAAGTGGATCAGAGCCTGCTGTGAAGAGGCGGAGCAGATCTGGCAGCAGCGGGTGGATCCGTGCAGGATGGATGGATGGATGACACCTTGGAGAGATAGCGAAGTCAGGCAGGCCGGGTCCGTAACAGTGGAGACAAACGGTACAGATCAGTAAGCAAAGAGTAATCGGGTCACAGGCCAGGTTCAGCAGCAGGAGGTCAGATCATCAGGAACAGGCAGAAGAGAAGTCAAGATGAGCCAGGGGTCAGGGCAGGAGACGGTCAACGGCAAACAGGGTCAGGCTAGGTCAGCAACAAGGCAATCTCAGGAACAGAACAAGCAGGAACAACAGGAACAAGACCAATACAGCAATGTGAGCATTGCAAGAGCTGGTTTAAATAGCCCGCCCGGCGCCGACAGGCGCGCCTGGGTCTTAATGCCTGCTCGGCACCGTCATTAGTGACAAGCGCGCGTGGGTCCTAGTGCCTGCCCGGCACCGTCATTAGTGACAGGTGGGCCTGGGTCCTAGTGCCCGCCTGCCTGTATGTCTTGTCGGGATCCTACGCATGTGCAGATTCGTGCGCCGCGGTGATCTTCTCGTTCCCTGACAGATAGATTTGAGTGTCATCGGCATAGAGATGGTAGTTGAAGCTGTGGGAGTAGATCAGTTGACCAAGGGAGGAGGTGTAGATGGAGAAGAGAAGGGGCCCGAGGACAGAACCTTGGGGGACCACAACAGAGAGGGGGAGTGAGTGGGAGGTGGCAGCGTTATAGGTAACACTGAAGGAGCGTTGAGATAGATGGGAAGAGAGCCAGGAGAGAGCGGAGTCTCTGAGGCCAAAAGAGTATAGTTTTTTGAGGAGAAGTACACCTTTGTAAAAAAAAATAAAAATATATAATTGCACATCTTTTAGTAGGTAAAAAAGGAGCAAGGCAAGGCTCATGTAGAGTGTCAGTGTAGCAGTCCCTGACTAACAAATAGAACCAAAGAACTACCTAGAGCACTGATTAGTGCCCTGGTAGCTCACTGAGAGCTAAAACCATCAGCCGCTATGGCTGACGATATTTGTAATTCTCCCATTCACAGAAATCTGTGAATGAGTGATGCAGTTGGATAGGAGGAGCCCCGCACGGTCACGTTTTTAAAAAATTGCAACAGCGGGTATGGGGTGAAGATCTTCAGCTTGCTGTCACAATGGAGATGGGTGCTGCTGCAACAGTACCATGTTACATGTTACGCCCTGAATAGGGGGTGTAACGTATAAGGATAGGTGAACTTATCTTTTTAAGTAATGGCAAAGTTATTTCCAAAAAACAGCTTGTAGCAGAAGTGTAAGAATTGCTCAGGTCAATAGGGGTGTGTACAGGGGTGAAAGCTGAGCTGGTTAAAGCACAAATCCAACCAAAAACCAGAGCTATGGCCAACACAATTTTAAATTGATGACATTAACATTAGCCTCAGTTCTAATGACAAGGCTAATCTTTGTGTGAGAATACATGGATAAGAAAATGTTGTATTATATACAAGCAAACCATAAAATGATTGTTATCTCTTCTTGTGGTTTTCAGAGTCTTTATTGCTAGTTGCGGGCAAGTTTAATGGAGCTGCTGGAGTGGAGTACATTGTGGGAACCATCCATACAAAGATTTCTGATGCTATAACCTACATGCAGGAGAACAAGGACTTAGTAACCAACAAGGTATTTTCAGGCAATGTATTGCGGTTTCATCAGACATCCTAATATAAACATTCACTGGAAACACAATATACAGTCATGGCCAAAAATATTGGCACCCCTGCATTTCTGTCAGATAATGTACCACTTCGCCCAAAAAATTGTTGCAATTACAAACGTTTAGGCATTCCATGCTTATTTCTTTTGTTTGTATTGGTATGACACAAAAAAGTGGAGAAACAAAAAGCCAAATCTGACACATTCCACGCAAAACTCCAAAAATGGACAGGACAAAATTATTGGGACCTTCTCAAAATTGTAAGAAATAATTGCATTCCAAGTTTGTGATGCTCCTGTAATTTGTAATAAACTCACCTATATCAATTAACAAATCTTAATGTTCCTGTGTCTACTGTGTGCAACATTGTCAAGAGGCTTACAGCCCATGGCACTGTAGCTAATCTCCCTGGACATGTACGAAAGAGAAAAATTGGTCAAATATTGCAACGAAGGATTGTTTGAATGGTGGATAAAGAACCTCGATCAACTTCCAGACAAATTCAAGCTGACCCAACTGTGTCAGCTCGCACTATACATCATAATCTGAATAAAAAGGAACATTATGGTAGGAGACCCAGGAGGACCCCAATGCTGACACAGAAACATAAAAAAAGCCAGATTGGAGTTTGTGAAAATTTACCTGAGGAAGCTAAAATCTTTTTGGGAGAATGTGCTGTGGACAGACGAAACAAAATTACAGCTTTTTGGCAAAGCCCATCATTCTACTGTTTTCTGAAAAAGCAATGATGCATTTAAAGAAAAGAATACAATCTCTACAGTCAAACATGGTGGAGATTCACTGATGTTTTGGGGTTGCTTTGCTGCTTCAGGTATTGGATGTCTTGACCGTGTGCATGGCATTATAAAATCTGAAGACTACCAAAGATTTTTGGGGAGCAATGTAGGGCCCAGTGTCAGAAAGTTGGGTCTCCATCAGAGGTCATGGGTCTTACAGTAAGACAATGACCCCAAGCACATGTCAAAAAGCACCCAGAAATGGTTTCAGATAAATCGCTGGAGAATACTGAACTGGCCAGCAATGAGTCCAGATCTCAATTCCATAGAGCACCTGTGGAGAGATCTCAAAACAGCAGTTGGGAAAGGAACCCTTCCAATCTGAGAGACCTGGAACAATTGGCAAAAGAAGAGTGGTCCAAAGTTCCAGTAGAGAGGTGTAAGAAACTCATTGATGGTTACGGGAAGCAATTAATTTCAGTTATTTCCAAGGGATGTGCTACCAAATATTAAATTGAGAGCACAATAATTTTGACCAGTCCATTTTTGGGGTTTTGCATGGAATGTGTCAGATTTGGCTTTTTGTTTCTCTACTTTTTTGTGTCATACAATGCAAACAAAAGAAATAAACATGAGAATGCCTAAACATTTTTGCTTGCAACAATTTTCTAATGCATTATCTGATAGAAATTCAGGGGTGCCAATATTTTTGCCCATGACTGTATGTAAACTCAGTGGCCAGGAAAATGGAAATCCTTGCAATGCAAATGTGCCTACTCTTTCCATTTACACACATGAAACACCTTTTGATACGCAATAGCAACTCCATTTTTGCAATTGTTTTGCAAGCTTTTTCTTTTTACTTCTTTGGGTGAACAAATAGGCGAATAAAACATCAGAGAGAAGGTTAGTATAACCAGATGAGGTGACAGTTAAATGAACCTTTTACTTTACCCAGTAGCCTGAGGGGTATATAATAAATGATCCAGAAAACAGGACCCTCATCAAAGCAAGTGGGAAGTAGATATGGATGGTTGAACCTTGGTAAGGTTGGGTGCCCTGGGCCATAATGGCTAATAACTATTCTTCACAAAATAAAACTCCGTTAGTTTTGGTTTACTGCAGCCAGTATGTGACACTCCTGGATTTGTAGGGCATATTACCTCTCCCATGCATGTTAAAAACCTCTTTAAATGGTTGCAGTAAACCAGGGATCATCAACATTGGTTTATCTATGATTGGAACTACATAATTTAGTGAATCCACTTCCAGCTGCATAACCTCAGTATACTTAGCAAGCGGCAGAATTCCATTAATATAGATTCAGATGCAGCATTCACCATAATACTCAGCTAGTTGTCAAGAAAAGATGTCTGAATTGTCAGCTTTAAGTCTTTGACAGACCACTCAGACAGTTGCTTTCAATCCATGTATGGTCAGCATTATTTTTATTCCAATCACCCTTTGTCATGCAGTTGTTGATCTGTTGTTGGCTAACAGCACATCAGTTTCTGCAGCCATACATTGGGTATTTTCCATCTAATGGTTGAAAAAAAACCAGCGCTGAGAAAGCTGTGGTGACTTGATAAAGCACATGCGTGCGAAACTCATTGTCGTGGTTATCAGCGAAGCTTGTGGTCCAAGCCCAGCGGTCAACTTCCGCTTCCTCCCGGGACCCTGTGACGTCAGTTCCGGAGCGCCGCGGTCCCCAATTGAGAAAGTGGTACACCGTGAATACCACCATCCCACATCCCAGCCCGGGGGCATGAGTGAGCGGATGTTCCACTGGTACCACTGAGGGTCACCGCATCTTCTGGATGAGCTTTGCTTTTTTAACGTAATGCTTTTTATGAAGTACTTATAGAATAAAAGTAGGGTGAGTATTGATTACAAGCCAGCTTTCTCAGCCCTGGTTTTTTTGCAACTATTTATCATTTCCTCTATTGTGATACTATCAGCCGTGAGCAAGTGGCCCCAATAGATCTCGGTCCTAGCACTTGGACTTTTTGCTCTTCTTGTTTTCAATCTAATTTCTATCTAATTCATTTAAACTGGACTATTATTATGCTCCTGTCTAAATTGGCCCTAATATGTGTATGTATGCTTTGATTGTACGCTCCATGAGGGTTAGGGACTGATATGCATGTACATTATATGTAAAGCTCTGTGTAAATTGATGGCACTGTATAAGTACTTGTAATAAATAAACAAATAAATATTTGTGTGGACCATTTTATTACTACCAGGTTAGACCTCTACACAACCAGAGCAGTTGTCCAGTTATAAAGACAAAACCGTTTTTATGGATTCTGACCTGATCTGAATATTGTGATTTCAGGACAGATGAGAATATTATTATTATTATACAGTATTTATATATTATAAATACTATATATAAATAGAATATATTATAAAAGCTTTGTTAATACATACAGTATATATTGCTATACATGTTTGCTACATACTCTGCAACTTAACAGAAAGAGTCTCTTTCATTTCTGCAGTTGTTTAAAAGTTGTGGAAACCCCAAAAAAGGTGGCAAGACTCCCAAACCAGAGGAGAGAAAAAGAAAAGGAAAGGCTGCTCAAGAAGATAAATCTACGGTGCCCAGCATGGAGAACCTGGTGAGTGATGAAGGCAGGAGTGCTGGACATATTCACAACACAACTGTGCTCAAAGGTTTGCATACCCTGGCAGAAATCATGAAATGTTGGCATTGATATTGAAAATATGACCGATCATGCCAAAAAACTGTTTTATTTAACCTCTTCACGCCAGCCTAGACGTCAAGCGGCCGCACATTTGCGTTCTATGAAAAAAGGACATATGTGCCGAGAGCGCGTGCCCTGCACGCTCCCAGCACACATGTCCGGTACTCACGGAAAGGTCCTGATCTCCTCTTTCAATCGGGACCTTTCCCGATCATGTGACCGCCGTGACGGCGTGTCACGGCAGTCACATGACGCTAAACCCCGCCCCGCCTCCCGGTTTCTGAAACTCTTAAAGGGCCGTGAGGCACCGGCGCGAAGGGGTTAAGGATAGTGAACATAGGAAGCCATTTATTATCACATAATTGTTGGGCTCCTTTTTAAATCATAATGACAACAGAAATCACCCAAATGGCCATGATCAAAAGTTTACATACCCTGGAATGTTTGGCCTTGGTACAGACACACAAGGTGCTGCACACAGGTTACAATGGCAATTAAAGGTTAATGTCCCACATTTGTGGCTTTTTCAATTTGCAAATAGTGTCAGTGTATTAATAGTCAATGAGTTTGTTAACTCTCACGTGGATGCACTGAGCAGGCTAGATACTGAGCCATGGGGGTCAGAAAAGAACTGTCAAAAGACCTGCGTAACAAGGTAATGGACTTTTATAAAGGTAGAAAAGGATATAACAATATCCAAAACCTTGAATATGCCAATTAGTACTGTTCAATCAAGAAGTGGAAAATTCTCTTGATACCATGCCAAGGTCAGGTAGACCAAGAAAGATTGCAGCCGCAACTGCCAGAGGCATGTCAACACCTTAACATGCCTCACAGCTTCTGGCACACTGTAATCTGGAGTGAGGAGACCAAAATAGAGCTTTATGGTCACAACCATAAGTGCTAAGTTTGGAGAGGGGTCAGCAGTGAAAAGAATTACCATCCCCACTGTGAAGCATGGTGGTGGCTCATTGATGTTTTGGGGGGGGTGAGCTCTAATGGCACAGGAAATCTTGTGAAAATTGATGGCAAGATGAATGTTATCAGAAAATACTGGCAGAAAATTTGCATTCTTCTACACAAAAGTTGCACATGGGGCATTCTTGGACCTTCCAGCACACCAATGACCCTAAGTACAAGTAGTTACAGCAGAAAAATGTGAAGGTTCTGGAGTGGCCATCAAGGTCTCCTGACCTTAATATCATCAAGTCACTCTGGGGAGATCTCAAATGCGTGGTTCATGCAAGACAACCAAAGACTTTGCATGACCTGGAGGCATTTTGTCAAGATGAATGGGCAGCTGGAGCTAGAGGCATTTTGAATATGTATCCCATAAGAAATAAAAGAAATGTGTTTAGCCTGCTCACACACGGTTTCTTTAAAAATGGTACATGCTATTACCAATTCTCCAAGGGTAGGCAAACTTTTGAGCACAACTGTACAGCCTTGTGTCGTAAAATGACCCAAGGACAATCCATTATGGTGATAAATAGGGTATTTGCAAAGACACTGCTGCAGACTAGAGCAAAATACAGGCTGGGAGTTTCTTATTTTATAGAAATGGGATTTCCAGGTAAACTCCGCTGTGGCAGCCTACATGTGTATCTTAGTATAGCTTTCCTTTAGGGACATATATTTCAGACAATAGGACTGCCTTTAAACAAAGGGGAGCCCAAAGCTCTAAATGATAGTAATGGACTGTTGTCTAGCAGTCTGAAGTGCAAATAAATGCTTTGGATGATATTTATCAAAACTGGAGCAGCAGTTTAGCTTGTTCAGTTAAGATTTGAAAATGAAACATAGAAGCTGATTGGTTGCAATACTAAACTGCTCCAGATTCTGGCTCCTCCAATTTTGACAAATTCACCTTTTTATTCTCCTACATATGGAGAATGAGAAAATAGCAACTCCAAATGTATCATTAGAACTGTCTGGATTATACAGTAAGTGAAGTTGTTTTTTATCAGTTATAATATCTCTTTCAAATTCTATCATTTATATATGTATACCTTTTCCCTGTGTACCTATAAGATAAGATCCCTATCAAAATGTGTGAATTGTTGAGGCTTTGCCCAGAAAAGGTAAGCAGAGTACAAAGGGCTGATAAACAGTATTGCCCGTAGGCTCTCTGCATCTGATCATCTCCCCATTGCTGATGTACAAAGCATTGTTCCACACTGAGGGGTTGATTTACTAAAGCTGGAGAGTGCAAATTTGGTGCAGCTGTGTTTGGTAGCCAATCAGCTTTCAACTTCAGTTTGTACAATTAAGCTTTGGACCTGGATGCTGATTGGTTTCTATGCAGAGCTGCACCAGATTTTGCACTCTCCAGTTTTAGTAAATCAAACTCACTGTCTCTGTGTGAGGATGGTCATCTTGGAAAATGAGCAAGACTTTACTTCTTCATGTCAGAGCTGACCCTCTGGTGACTGGTGCACTGATGGGGCAATCGATCAGAAACTGCAGAAAGCGCAGATCCACAAAATGAACTATTCGGAATCAGAAAGTTCCTTGCACCGCATGCCTTCAAGCACAGCTTCCTCCCCAGCTAGCCCCCAGAACAGTGAGCAGTGCAGTAGTGACTGCAGTAAATATCACTCCAATTGTCCTCAGACTAGTAGTCAGAGTCAGCCGTTACTTAGATGATCTCACACTGCAGATTCAAACTTATAAAGCTGTAGGCAGAGGGGTGCCTAGGCTCCCTCACATTCCAGAAAGTGCAATGCTATTTTTCAGAAGAAGTTACAGACAAAGGTAAATTATTCAGGGTACTGCTTAGACACAATCAACATTTCTAGGTGTTCCCTATTCTCATTTACTTGTTCAGGTCTGTTTAACCACCTGCCGACCACCAGTTCTGGGTGGGCATCATATGACATCCTCCCAGAACGCGCTCTCCTGGCGCGCACACCGGCGATCTCCATGATCGCTGTGTCCTATGGACATAGCTGATCACGTGATGTGGTAAAAGGCCAATCACAGCGGCCTTTTACCACGTGATCAGCCGTGTCCAATGACACGCTGTTCACCGGGAAATGCAATTGTCGGTTCTCGGCTGCACTTTCCTCACGCTGTCAGAGCGCGAGGAAAGTATTGCTGAGAACCGGCAGTTGTCAGAGCAGGGATTGGCACCGATCATCAGGGCACTGATGATCAGTATTCAAAAAAAGGGGGATTTGTGAAAAGAAATTCACAGAGAAAGCGGCCATTATGAACAGAACGTGACACCCAGAAAAAATTTCCAAAAATTATGCTTTATTACACCCACATATGGGCGTTCGCCCTGGTTTACCATCACCTCAGTATGAGACAATACACACAGACCTAAAACCATATAAAATGACATCAAGACCGGTGCCTAAATGCATGTGCAACAGAAAAAATGACTGCAGGAGTCTAATGTCCCTGTAGCACAAACACTGTGAACACTTCCCAAAAGAGGTGCCAAAAATTATACCTAGGCATACCATAATATTAAATATTATATGTGGAACAATACCATTATGGTGAATCCCAATCAGGGAATCCAAAAATTGTACTATGGAAAAATATCACATATATACAATGCAGCAAGCACAATAGGCGTCAAGAAGAGAACAACAAGCCTCAGGCCTGTATGGGGGGAGACATAAATGTCAAATATATGATGCAATTCATTCCTGTGCCGGCACAAGTGGTTGGGGCCCATTCATCTGTAATATAAACAGCTGTATCCTAGAGCTCTTGGTGAAATAATGCCCCATTTATTCCCAGGGTGGAAGAAAAGATGCAAAAAGCAGCACTCTGCTAGAAATGGTATCTTCACCACTATATGTGGACTATACACCACCTTTCGTAGGGAAAGCATGACATATCAAAAGATCTTCTGCCCGTTGAGATATATATGGTAAATCCTGTATCTCTACAAAGCACCATGATGTCCCCATCCTGTAGTGAGACAAATGATATGTGGGAAGTCACTGACAGAGTATACACTCAATAAGATATATAGGTCATATAGATCACAGAGGACCATATATCTAATGTCCTGTAACAATCCACTCACCACCTGTGCTGTGGTATTAGGGATGAAAAAGGTGTCCTTCATGGGTACTGCCATACACGGCCACAGGCCTAGGAACCACCGCTGACATCCGCCGATATACCGCGGGTTCCAGCCCCTTCTTGGCGCTTGTGCTGCTCACACTTGCCCATGGCATGTGAAGATGCTTCCTCCTTATCAATGTTCCACCTAATGCGCATGACCGGAAGTGACGTATCTGACGTATGTTTCAAAAATTTTCGCCGATGGGCGTATCTCACTCAGCAAATTTCTTTTCACAAATCCCCCTTTTTTTGAATTTTTTGGCTACTGAATAATTGGGTGACATGATTTCACTTTTCAACCTCTTAATAACTATCTTTTATACACTGATGATCAGTACCCTGATGATTGGTGCCCAGCAGTGCCACCCACCAGTTCCGCCCACCTGTGTCCAGCAGTGCGCCCACCTGTGCCCAGCAGTGCACCCACCTGTGCCCAGCAGTGCCACACACCTGTGCTCAAAAGTGCCACCTACCTGTGCCCAGCAGTGCCACCCACCTGTGCCCACTCAATGTCATGCCACCCACCTGTGCCCACCAGTGCACCCACCAGTGCCCATGCATGCAGCCCGCAGTGAAGTCAGTGCCCATTCAGTCAGTGCCTGCAGTGCCGCCAGTCAGTGCCCAGCAGTGATGCCAGTCAGTGCCACCTATCAGTGCTACCTATCAGTGCCGCCTATCCTGGTAATTAGTGCTGCCTATAGTGCCGCCTATCAGTGACACCTCATTAGTACTGCCTATCAGTGTTGCTTATCAGTGCCCATCAGTGCTGCCTATCAGTGCCCATCAGTGGCCACCTATTAGTGCCCATCAGTGCTGCCTCATCAATGCACATCAGTGAAGGAGAAAAATTACCTGTTTGAAAAATTTTATAATAGAAACAAAGAAACTTTTTTTTTTTCATAATTTTTTTCAATTTTTTTGTTTATAGCGCAAAACGTAAAGTGTGTCCAGCAGCGATTAAATACCACCAAAAGAAAGCTCTATTTGAAAAAAATGATAAAAATGTCATATGGGCACAATGTTGCATGACCGCGCAATTGTCATTCAAAGTGTGACAGCGCTGAAAGTTGAAAATTGGCCTGGTAAAGAAGGGGGTATAAGTGCCCAGTAGGCAATTTAAGGTGGGATTAGATGTTTTTGCTCAGATATTTATGTGAATACATGGATATCAATGGACACTCCTAGGTGATGGATCTCTTGGCTGACAGATATTACTTTCTCAAGGTGGGAGCAATGCAGGCAGTATTTACTTTTTAATTTATGTAGGAATCAGAAATGATCTTCTAATGTCTATGGCTATTATATTAATAAATCCACAGAGATAGCTTTGTTACTGATTCAGAAATGATCTTTAACCAATGTGACTATAGCAAATTCACCTTTGGGAGCATGTTACAAGTTACACCCATATTTAGGGTGTAGCCAGTGGCATCTTAATAGCATCATGGGCCCCTGGGCAACGTAATGCACTGGGGCCCCTACCAGTCTGCCCCAATATACTCATCTACTCTCAAGAATTAAAGTATAAATAGTTGATAGAATTAAACATACATTTATTAGTACTTTCAACAAAATTGTCTTTAACCGCTTACCCACGGCCGTACAGCAGATCTACTGCTACACAGCGACACTGGTGCGCAAAATCACGTATATATACGTGATTTTGCATTTCCGGGTAGGGGCACGCACGCCATTTGCGGCCACGGAGGTGAGTCACAGAATGATTACCCACTGGCGTCCGGTGATTACCAACAATCACCGACGGGGAGGAAGACTGTTTTGTTTACAGTCTTCCTCCCTGTCAGCTCGGACACACTGCTCAGGATAGCTTTGCACAGCACAGCCATCCTGAGCAGTGTGCTTACAGTGAAGCACACACCCCCATCCCCTAGTAAAACACTCCCTACACACAATTAATTCTTTGATTACCCCTCACATTAACCCCTTCCTGCCTAGTGTCATTAGTACAGTGTCAGTGCACTGATCACTGTAACGGTGTCACTGGGGATGTCAATGACACCAAGTTAGTTCCCCCCCCCCTCCCCCCAGTGTCAGAATGCCCACTGCAGTTCCTCTAAAAGTCACTGTTCGCCGCCGTTACTAGTAAGGAAAGAAAAAAAAATTCTCAGTATCTATACCACCATTTGTAAACGCTTTAACTTTCACTTAAACTGATTAATTTACACATATTGGGATTTATTTTTAGCAAAGACTTGTAGCAGAATACATTTTGGCCTAAATTTATGACGAAATTTGATTTTTTAAAATTTTTTACTGGACATGTTTAATAGCAAAAAGTCCAAAATATAGTTTTTTTTCTCAAAACTGTCGGTCTTTTATTGCTTATAGCGCAAAAAAAAAAAATTGCACAAGCAATCAAATACTACTGAAGGAAAGCTCAAATCATGGGAAAAAAAGGACGTAAATTCAATTTGGGCGTTGCATGACCGCGCAATTGTCAGTTAAATGAATGCAGTGTCGTAACACAAAAAATGGCCTGGTCAGGAAGGGGGGTAAATCCTCTGGAGGGCAAGTGTTTAAACAATAAGAAAACATACCATAAATCAAAGACTAATCAACACAAATATCCAAACAATATAAAAAGTTAGTAGAGCAGACGACAGGGCATCAGAAGGGCAGAGTACAGGGTAGTCAGGAGGGTGCAGTACAGGGGGCAGGTGGGTAAAGTACAGGGGGGGCAGGAGGGTACAGTACATGGGGGCAGGAGGGCACAGTACAGGGGGGAACAGTACAAGGGGAGGGTAAGCAGGCACAGTACAGGGGGCAAAAGGGTACAGTATAGGGGCAGTAATGTATGATACAGGTATGGTCTCTTCAAGCAGAGCTGCGCAGGGAAGCTGCTGTCATAGACATTCTTATCTATTCTGGCAAGCTGTCACTGGGCTAAATCTACATTCGGAATGACATCTCCCAATAACCTTCCCCTTCATAGTTTCTGGCTCTCTTCCGGTGCTTTGCAGGGGTTAAGGAAGAACCTGAGGCGGAGCTTCTTATTACTGCCACTGCTTGTGTGGGTGTGATATGTACTGCCCTGATCACATGGGATGAATGGGAGAGGGGAGTAAGCAAGGTTTGGCACAGTATACATTCCACCCACGCAAGCAAGCAGAAGCAGGAGTAAAATGTTCTATGAGTTCTCGAGTTTCTTCTTTAACACCTGCAAAAAATGGGGGATGGGAATGGGAATCATGCGGTAGGGGGGAAAAGGAAAAGTATGGGTAGGAGATGGGGAATGGATAGAGAAGCACTGAAGTGAAACTGAGGGATCCTGGTCTCCTATAGAGGTAAAAACAGGGTGAAGGATTTGTGCAGGTATGAGTGAAGAGGGTAGAAGAGGCAAATGGGGGGGGGGGGGGGGGGGGCAAGGGTACTGGAGACGGATGGTCGGGGATGGGCATGGGGAATACTGTTGACTGGTAAGGAACAGCCACAGTATAAAAAAGCAATGGGCTGGCTGGCAGGGAGGGGGAGAGGGAGTGATCTCCATTTGATAGCAATGAGACAGTGTTGGGGTGTTCAGGGTGGGGATTCCGGCCATCTGCAATGTATGTGTATGGTGGGACGAACACCTGTGTGAAGGTGCAGAGCCTCCAGAGAACAAGCAGATGAGGAGGGAGGGAGTGAGAGAGAGGGAAAGTGATATGGAAGGACTATTGTCAGGAAGAGAATTCTGGCTGGGGTCGGATGAAGAGGCTGTAAATTAGCAGGGCTGCTAGATGTTGGCAAACCAGCTGGCTGAGAGAAGGGAGTGAGTGTTAACAACCATCCCAGAGATAATGAGAGACGGTGTGACAGGCAGAGGTGGAAGGATCTGTGTGAGGATGAAAGGGTGCAATACGGGATAGTGGCTGAGGTGGATAGAAGGATGGCGGGGATGGAGAGAACAATGAATGAGTGAGAAACAGGGATAATGGAAATAACCTGTAGTGGTAAAAATGGTAAAGAAAGGGAAACTGTTGGCAAGAAACTGCAAGGATCCCCTATGCACCCAGTGCTGGGTGTAGCGTGTAAAATCCTCCATTAGTTGACCCCCCCTCCCCCTTTCCATTAAAAATAGCAAGCCTGTGCGGGGTTCCACCTACAGCCGTGTCATTCTTTCACAGCAATCTGTGAATAAATGAGCTACAAGTGCCTTCTTCCACCACGGCAGACAGCTTGTAGTTCTCAATGACCTGCAAGAGTACTGGTGAGCCCTCTTGTAGTTCATTGATCTTCCTGCTCTTCAGTAATTGTCTGCCCATACAGGAGGTAAGGTATACTGAGAGTCTGCAGGAGCCTGACCGCACATTTGTTATTTTTTTCAAAAAAAAGTGAAGGTTAAAGCTGAATTCTTCCATTTGTGTATTGAACTGTCAGTAGAACAAGGACTTCTTATTATTCTAACATGCTCATTTATTTTATAAATGTAATCATATTTATTTTTGTAGGTATTAGATGTAAAAGCGACACTCAGTGACATCCAGGATTACTGGATATCATTACCAAGTTTATTCTGCAACGAAAAGAATATTGCTGGCCAGGGCAATGAAGACAAGTGCTGGAATGGAATGACCCGAGCGAGGTAACTCATTCTGTGTCTAGCAGCTGGAAAATGCCATCTTGGTATGACATGTTCGGTGAACCTAAATAACTGGACTTGGGGTCTGTTGACATTGATCTGCAAAGAGAAATATACATTTATAGCATTTTAGCAGAGTACTACCTTAACCAAATGTCTTAATGTTCCAGCTATGGGGCTGTAAAATCATTGGTGAACCACATACACAGCAATTGTTAAAGTATATCTATCTAAACAAAAAGGGTTAAAGTACGGCTGAAGGCTCCTGTATGGCAGCCTAAACAGGTCCAAAATCTGTTACTTACCATGTGATGTGCAAGTCTCCTAAAGTAAACAAAATCCACCTTCATTTGTGTTTCACGTTTCCCCTCCCAGACACTGCAGCTAATAGTGGAATGGTTTCAGCAACAGATACAGTGCTGTCACTCCAGAGATCTGTGGGCAGAACTAGGTGTGACCAGGTGTTGAATGGCAGGCTACAGGCTTGTGAATCCGCAGCTTCACCCCCTGCAATATTTTTTCATCCCACTGTAGTGCCCATAGCCACAGCCTACATGAGAATGACAATTCTGCTCGTAATTCAGGAGCAGTGCAACTGTGTTTGGTCATCCATCACGGGGAGCTGCACAAGGTGGAATTCACTGGCAGGTTGAACAAGTATTTTTGATACTTTGCAGGGGCGGCTAAGAGAAAGCTGGGAGTGCAAAGGCACTTACAATTAAGTCTGTAGCACTTATGGAGCAAACATCAAAATACTGTTTGTATTCGTAAGATTATTGTGCGGTATTACTGAAATTTCTAATGATAAGTTGTGCTTTGCTTTAGGTACATGCCAGAACGGATGGGCAGTGGCCTTGCCAGCCAAATAAATAACCCTGAGATTGACGTAGATATTACCAAGCCTGATATGACCATCCGTCAGCAGATCATGCAGCTGAAAATCATGACAAACCGTCTCCGCAATGCCTACAATGGAAATGATGTGGACTTTCAGGACACAAGTAAGTAAAATTCTCAAATGACAGCTCATATTTGTAGGTGGTAGTTGGTATATCTATTTAAATATGTGCTCTGGGTTTTTCAATACTGATGGTTAAACATACACATCAGTTCTTCTTAGCTGTTCAGTGTCTGCAATTGTTGTCTGTGCCTGGTGCTTACAGTAAGACAGCCCATACATTATTCATTTGTTTTCATTCAACCAGTGGGTTGGACAAAAAAAAAGACCCTCGTCCCCCATCCACACACTTGATGTGGATAGGGGAAACCTTGCACTCAGCCATTGTATTCTGACAGCGAGGAGCCTTCTCCACCATCAGAATACACTGATCAGCGCTGTCAGCTATAGCCAGCGGCAATGATTGATTCAGAAAAATCAAATACAGTCAGGTCCATAAATATTGGGACATCGACACAATTCTAACATTTTTGGCTCTATACACCACCACAATGGATGTGAAATGAAACGAACAAGATGTGCTTTAACTGCAGACTGTCAGCTTTAATTTGAGGGTATTTACATCCAAATCAGGTGAACGGTGTAGGAATTACAACAGTTTGCATATGTGCCTCCCACTTGGTAAGGGACCAAAAGTAATGGGACAATTGGCTTCTCAGCTGTTCTATGGCCAGGTGTATGTTATTCCCTCATTATCCCAATTACAATGAGCAGATAAAAGGTCCAGAGTTCATTTCAAGTGTGCTATATGCATTTGGAATCTGTTGCTGTCAACTCTCAAGATGAGATCCAAAGAGCTATCACTATCAGTGAAGCAAGCCATCATTAGGCTGAAAAAACAAACCCATCAGAGAGATAGCAAAAACATTAGGTGTGGCCAAAACAACTGTTTGGAACATTCCTAAAAAGAAGGAACGCACCGGTGAGCTCAGCAACACCAAAAGACCTGGAAGACCACAGAAAACAACTGTGTTGGATGACCGAAGAATTCTTTCCCTGGTGAAGAAAACACCCTTCACAACAGTTGGCCAGATCAAGAACACTCTCCAGGAGTGTTTTATATAAAATATAGTGTTTTATATATAAAATTCTCACTGAATTAGTCACAGAGGTAAAACCAATGTATATAGAAAAATGGGAAAAGGACTTGGGGACAGAGATAGATGAGGATAAACAGAGGAAAATATATAGACTCACACATGAAAATATCAGCATGAGAGAAGTGGGAGGTAAACTATAAAAGTTTGGTAAGATGGCACATCACACCAAAGGTAGAACATAAAATGGGTATAGAGAGAACACAAGAGTGTTGGCGTGGGTGTGGAGGGATTGGTACGTGGTTTCATATTTGGTGGGAATGCCCAAGGATTCAAAGTTTTTGGGAGAAAATGGTCAACTTAATAGAGAAAATCTCAGGGATAAAGATAGGATTAGATCCAGAAGTGTGTCTGTTACATAAGACAGATATACCAGTGAATAAATACAAGGATTCCGGTATATGGTACTATGTAAATGCAGCAAAGGGGTTGATACCTAGATTCTGGCATAGTTTAGAGGTTCCGAGAGAAAGGGACTGGTTTGAGAGAGTAAAGCAGATTAGTAAGATGGAGAAACTATACTATATCCAAGAGGGTAAGATGGAGATATATAAAAGGAGATGGGAGAAATGGGAAGATTTTGTACTTCAAACGAATATATATGAAGCAGTAGAAATGAGAAGAGAAGAGGGGTAGGATACGCTTGCTTTAGACAGAAAGTAGGGAAGAACGCAGAGTGGGGGGGTTGTTTGGGGGGGAGGAGGAAGGAGGTAATGTTTTTAAGAAGGGAAAAATAAAGGATAAGAAGGAATTGTGTATTTATTATGAAAAAGATGAAAGTGTAATGTTATCTTTATGAAAAATTAATAAATATTTAAATATAAAAAAAAAAAAAAGAACACTCTCCAGGAGGTAGGTGTATGTGTGTCAAAGTCAACAATCAAGAGAAGACTTCACCAGACTGAATACAGAGGGTTCACCACAAGATGTAAACCATTGGTGAGCCTCAAAAACAGGAAGGCCAGATTAGAGTTTGCCAAACGACATCTAAAAAAACCTTCACAGTTCTGGAACAACATCCTATGGACAGATGAGACCAAGATCAACTTGTACCAGAGTGATGGGAAGAGAAGAGTATGGAGAAGGAAAGGAACTGCTCATGATCCTAAGCATACCACCTCATCAGTGAAGCATGGTGGTGGTAGTGTCATGGCGTGGGCATGTATGGCTGCCAGTGGAACTGGTTCTCTTGTATTTATTGATGATGTGACTGCTGACAAAAGCAGCAGGATGAATTCTGAAGTGTTTCGGGCAATATTATCTGCTCATATTCAGCCAAATGCTTCAGAACTCATTGGACGCCGCTTCACAGTACAGATGGACAATGACCCAAAGCATACTGCAAAAGCAACCAAAGAGTTTTTTAAGGGAAAGAAGTGGAATGTTATGCAATGGCCAAGTCAATCACCTGACCTTAATCCGATTGAGCATGCATTTCACTTGCTGAAGACAAAACTGAAGGGAAAATGTCCCAAGAACAAGCAGGAACTGAAGACAGTTGCAGTAGAGGCCTGGCAGAGCATCACCAGGGATGAAACCCAGTGTCTGGTGATGTCTATGCGTTCCAGACTTCAGGCTGTAATTGACTGCAAAGGATTTGCAACCAAGTATTAAAAAGTGAAATTTTGATTTATGATTATTATTCTGTCCCATTACTTTTGGTCCCTTACCAAGTGGGAGGCACATATGCAAACTGTTGTAATTCCTACACCGTTCACCTGATTTGGATGTAAATACCCTCAAATTAAAGCTGACAGTCTGCAGTTAAAGCACATCTTGTTCGTTTCATTTCAAATCCATTGTGGTGGTGTATAGAGCCAAAAATGTTAGAATTGTGTCGATGTCCCAATATTTATGGACCTGACTGTAGGTTGGTTGTACGGAAATCAGTCAGTAGACTGAATTCTGTACAACGAGCCTGCCCATACATAGATCGAAATTCGACCAATCCCTGTTGAACCTGGTGAATGTCGATCCATGTACAGTATGTTGTCTTAAGAAGATAAATGTTGGTTTGAGACTTTTAGAGTAGCTGTAGGTTTAAGTGAACCTAACTTGGCCTAAACTGTTTGTCAGTGATAACAATGCAGAAGTGCAGATACTGTACCTTGTGGTCTTTACAAGCATCTGTGTTTGTCTTTAAATCAGTCATTGGGATTGATTTAATGAAAGCAAATAGACTGTGCACTTTGCAGGTGCAGTTGCACTCATTTTCCCCAGAAGTTCGTGAATGTGGTGGAGCTCTGCTGATTTCCGTCAACCAATCATGTGCAAGCAAAAATGCTTTTTTTTATTTTCCTTGCACCTGATTGGGTATTCTTTACACAGTAAAGCCTCACCGCATTCACTAAGCTCTGGGGAAAAGGAGTGCATCTGCATCTACAAAGTGCAGAATCTATTTACAGCTGTGCATGGTAGCCAATCAGCTTCTAACTACAGCTGGGCCAATCTAGCAGCTTTTTATGTCTTTGAAACCAGTTGAGAGTTTCCTTGGCTTCGTTTTTGGTATCATTGTCTTGCTGAAATGTCCACCCTTGTTTCATCTTCTACATTTTTTCCATTCATCCTTCCTGAAATGATATGAAGTTTGCCAGTACTGTATGCTGAAAACAGCCCCACACCATGATGTTCCCACCTCCAAACATCGCTGTTGGTATGGTGTTTTGTGGGTGATGTGCAGTGCCATTTGACCTCCAAACATGGTGTGTGTTATGACATCCAAAGAGTTACATTTTGGTCTCATCTGACCAGACTATATTCTCTCAGTATTTCACAGGCTTGGCTAAATGTTGTGCAGCAAACTTTAAATGAGCTCCAACATGCTTTTTGTTCAGCAATGGAGTCTTGCATGGTGAATGTGCATATAGGTCATGGCGGTTAAGTGCATTACTTATTGTTTTCTTTGAAACAATTGTACCTGCTAATTCCAGGTCTTTCTGAAGCTCTCCACAAGTGGTCCTTGGCTCTTGGACAACTCTTCTGGTAATTCTTTTCACTCCTCTGTCAAAAAGAAATCTTTTGAGGAGCACCTGGTCGTGGCCAGTTTATAGTGAAATTATGTTTTTTACACTTCCGGATTATGGCGCCAACAGTGCTCACTGGAACATTCAGAAGTTTAGAAATCCTTCTGTAACCAATGCCATCAGTATGTTTTGCAATTATAAGGTTGTGAAGGTTTTGAGAGAGCATCATGAGATGTTTCTTTCTTGGTAATGAGACACCTTTTTATAGGCCAACTGTTGAGACTGAACCAGCTGATATTAATTTGCACAGACAAGGGGCAGGATTGCTTTTAATTACTGATAGATTTCAGCTGGTGTTTGGGCTTTCCATGCCTTTTTGCACCTCCCTTTCTTCATGTGTTCAATACTTTTTCCCTGTGTCATTCCATTTTATTACACAAAACTTAATTTCTGAACTTATTTGTTTTGGTTTCTCTGTATGTATGTATTGCATGGGTTGTTACTGACATGAAAATTTCATGTCAATAGCACTTTTAGAAATATATTTACCTAGAAAAATGGTGACATTTTCAATACTTATTTTACCTGCTGTATTTCATCTGTATATTTAGCTGTTTGCCTGTAACTGTATTTGTCCAAGTTGTATGTTTATGTCTTCATGCACTAATAATCACTATTGTTTTTATGCAGGTGATGACATCAGCGGATCAGGAAGTGGAGATGGCTGCACTGACAGCGTCTGCATCAAAACAGCGTCAGGAGATGCTTCCGTAGTGCACACACAGACACATATCACTCACAATTCCAAATCATCAGAAAAGCCAGGGAACAGTGCTTACGTCCACTCATGGAACCTTCTTATAGTTGTCGTGGCTTTGCTTGTGGCATTTTCTGCCCGATGGTAACTTATGTGAATTTTCGTAAAAAAAGGGAATGCTGTTTACTTCGCCCTGTCCAAATAAACTCGACCTTCTCAGTTTGGATGTAGATGACAATGGAAAGGGAGAGAGTGCTGGAGATTAGGCCTCTATAACACTGTGTTCTTCTACAGGCTCACAACGTCTCCATACCTGTACATTTTTTGTAATTGTGTGTATTTTATTTTCAGATACAGATAAACCTTACTGGGCTGTTTTTTTATTCTTTGATTGATAGCACAATATTGTTATAAGTGGCATAAAAGCCTCACTAATACCGTGTCTCTTTTCTAAGATTAAAATAAAATACATGGAAAAATGTTAAATATTTATTAGTGCAAATACACACATTTCTCTGCCTATAGTATTGACAGATTGAGAGAAGCATTGTATGCAGTTTTCTTTATGTTTCTATATAAAGAGGGTTTCTCTTTATTTCTGTCACCAGGCGTGATTTTGTGGAGAGGCATGAGAAGCCATCTTGTCAGCACAGATTTTATTAAGTCTATTTAAGCAGTTGTCCTAGTACAAAAGGGTCATAGACTGCACACAAGAGATTTGTGGAAACGGAAAAGAGCACGCGCTTGCTTATTCAGTATTGTAGTCATCTGCATCACAAAACTGTAAACACAGACTGGGAGCTGGATCCTTGGGAAGAGAGCTCTGCTGTTTCTCACTTGCTATTGACTAGTGCTTAATAGGCCTCAGCCAATGATCTGCTGACTCCTCCCCTCCATCTGCTGCAGCCAGTGATCTTCAAACTTACCCCCCTTCCTCTGCTGCAGCCAAAGATCTACAGACTCCTCCTTTCCTTCCACTGCAGCCAATGATATGAAGACTTCTCCCCTCCATCTGCTGCAGCCAATATTCTGCAGAATTCTCCCCTCCCTCTACGGCAGCCAATGATCTAAAGACTCCTCCCTTCCTTCCACTGCAGCCAATGATCTGAAGACTTCTCCCCTCCCTCTGCTGCAGCCAGTGATCTGCAGATTTCTCCACTCCTTCTGCTCAAGCCAATGATCTACTGACTTCCCCCTTCCCTCTGCTGCAGCCAATGATCTGAAGACTTCTCCCCTGCAGCCAATGTTCTGCAGAATTCTCCCTTCCCTCTGCAGCAGCCAATGATCTACAGACTCCTCCCTTCCTTCCACTGCAGCCAATAATCTGAGGATATCTCCTCTCTCTCTGCTGCAGCCAATGATCTGCAGAATTCTCCCCTCCCTCTGCTGCAGCCAATGATCTACAGACTCCCCCCTTTCCCTCCACTGCAGCCAATGATCTACAGACTCCCCCCTTCCCTCCACTACAGCCAATGATCTGAGGGCCCCTCCCCTCTGTTCAGTGCAGCCACTGATCTTCAGACTCCTCCCTTTCCTTTGCTACAATCAACAATCTGCAGACTTCTCACCTCACTCTGCTGCAGCCAATCCCCTTCAGACTCATCCCCTCCCTCTGCTGCAGCCAGTAGTCTACAGACCTTCATCCAAGGATCTGCAAACTCCCCCATTCCCTCCACTACAGCCATTGGTCTGCAGACTTCTTCCTTTCCTCTGCTACAGCAATGATCTGCAGACTTCTCTCCTCCTCCTGCAGTCCATGATCTGCCCCTCCCTTTGCTACAGCAAAGGATCTACAAACTTCTCTGCACCCTCTGCTTCATCCAATGATCGGCAGACTTATCTCCTCCCCTTCCTTTGCTGCAGCCAATGATCTGCAGAACCCTCCCCTCCTTCTCCGGCTGTGTTAATTTGTATCATTGTTAGAGACAGGCCTGACAAGAAATGAACCTAGTGATTCATTGACAAGGGCAGCTCAGGGGAGGCAATGTAAAACATATTTTGCTACTACTACTGAGAAATCACACAGCTTTACTTACAATATTAACAAATACATAGAGTGACTATACAAAACTTTATTCATTTGATGGTTAAGTAGAACTATGGGCAAAATAAAACTAAAAAAAACATATACTGTATATTGCAGTCTGTCAATAGAATTACCACAGCAGTTTTTCTATGTCCCCCATAAGGACTCTTCACATTTGTGCTGCCCTCTGAAGAGCAATCCATGTTCAGATCGCATTTCAGAGGGCATTTGATAGCGAGGAGGCCTTATATGGCCTCCTCACTGCCTGATTTGACCCTGTAATGCTGCACTACTGCATTGCACTTGTGTGCATTGCTAGCCACCCCTTTTTTGTATCTCCCCATGGCGGCCATCTTAAAGGGCCTTGACATAGTTTTTTTTTACCTGTTGACCTTGCCAGAAGTTCAAATATTTTTCTGCTTTCTTTAAGAGGCCAAGATGTCCAGTGACAGTTACATGGTTGTGGGAAACCATACCACACTGACAGGAGTGATTACAACAGTTGGCTTTTGTTCATATGGTCTAAACCTTTTTTCCAAAAAGAAAAACAACTGTTGAATAACTGCTTAAAAAGTGTTATCTGGAGTTCGAATTTTATTTGTTTGTCTTTTAAGTCCATTTAAATTTACATGTCCCTCTAAGACTATCCTGTCCATAAGGTGACAACACTGCTGTGTGATTTTACGCAAACAGTGTTGTCACCCCATGTCAGAACATGGAACAATAATTGTTAGGATCAACAAGTATTAAAGCTGTGACACAGGGTAGACTGCTTGATTTTTGCCCATAGTTCCGCTTGAAGTAAGTTAGGAAATTTGACTTGCAAGACATAAGCAGTTAATGATATGCACATTTTTTGTTATCTGGTGACATGGGGGTTACCAATATGTGCTGCATTCTGATGCTAAACTGGGCTAATTTGGACAATTTTGTATTAACAGATCTGGAGAAATGTAGGGATTTCTCTGGTCTAGGACCAATGTGTAAATTTGCTTGTTGACATAAAAACTCTTTTGTGATTTGTTTCTAATTTAACCAAACATATCACTGATTCAAACTATCGAAATAAAAATGTAATATCTTAATAAACAGGCATTTTTATGCTTTACAAATAGGTAGTATACCTGTCTTCACGTTTGTCATTGACCTTTCTTTTGGACAAGCAGCCTGTAGTCAGAAGTTTTGACAGGTTCAACTGGAATTTGTTGGCCAACTATTGTACCCACATTTTAAGTGGAACTCCAGACAAAACATAGGGGGACCAAAAAAAACAATGGTGTGGCATTAAAATAGTGCAGATTGCAACATTTTTGCTAAAGTGACAGATAAACAATGATTCACAATGCATGCCCTTGTGGAATGTGACATGCGGCATAACAATGAAATCCCCATTTGTGACATTTTTTTTCCAAAATGTCGCAATGTGTGAAGCATATAATTGAAAAGATTGAGCCTTTTCGGGGCACATAGACATAAATGCTTTAGTAGATGATGCAGTATTCCTTATAAAATGTATGGTTTCTCATTCTGCACTGCAAATACTTTATCAGGCACAGGTTCTACAGTGTGGATAAAACAATTGTGTTTTTGATGTCCACTGTGCATGTGTATATAGAAGTATGATTTCTCAGTTCTATGTATAAAATAATGCCTGTCAAACTGAACTGAGTGTTTTCAACATCTTACACCCCCATAATAGTTTCAGTTAACCATCAGAAGGTATTGCCTACATTTTTACTTTACTGTTGAACACTTTGGGGAGAATTTTACTAAAACTGGAGCACTCAGAATCTGGTGCAGTGGTGCATAGTGACCTATCAGCATCTAACTTCAGCTTGTTCAAATAAGCTTTGACAAAACCAGACGCTGACTGACTATTATTATTATTATACAGGATTTATGTAGCGCCAACAGTTTGCGCAGCGCTTTACAATATAAGGGAGACAGTACAATTACAATACATTTCAGTACAGAAGGAATATGAGGGCCCTGCTCGTGGAGCTTACAATCTAAAGGAAGGGACTGCTATGCAGAGCTGCACCATACTCTATGTGCTCCAGTTTTAGTAAATCCCCTCCTTCTCCCTTAGTGTCCCATTTTTAAAGGCTAAGTTGACCATTTCCAGAAATTGTAGTCAAGGGCTCCAGTGGGTACTAACCCCCTATGTAGCTTTGTAAAATGTTAATTTATTTTATTGTCGTATCTATAGACCATTTGCCCCCTCCTAGAAGCCTAAATAGAAAAAACTCAAATTTAGAAATCCCTATGTCCTGCCTTAAACATGAAATCCTTTGGGTCTTGCCCTTCTAATGTTGGGAGTGGGCATCTCAGTGGTTTTCATGTTCTAGCAACAAGACAGAATTTTGAAATGGAAGCTTTCCCTCCAATCTTCCAAGGGGGCCCAAATGGCCCCTTGACTCCACAGGCTATTTTCTAGAAAAGGTGAATTTTAAAAGCCTTAAAGCAGTGGTATGGCCTTGCAGCGGCTATTCTCAACTTTAATAAAAAATATACATTTATAAATGAATGTGGGGTATCTCGGAAGAAAATCCTGATCACATGACCTGACCAAATCATGTGGCTGGACCCTTCTCCTGTTACAGAGTGTTCTTCGCAGCGTTATCCAGAAAACACTCTCATGGATACTGCGGACTCCACACCATCTTTGCATCTACATCTCTGCATTTTAGGAATGACTTGTCAACACTGTGAGGTGTGGATATCATCATTATCTATCATATTTCCCTTTTAAATAGCCCCTTTAGTGCTGGATAAAACAAGTTAATGTTCTACAAAATGTCTGTTCGCTAGAAATGTATCTGATCATGTCTTGCTTATCTGGATTCAAGACAACATAGTATCTATTACACACAGTGCAGTGAGCTCATTACCTATACTTTTTACATGATAAGAGAAGTGTGTTCTCAGCTGTTCTGGAAGGATGTACAACATTCAAAGTGGAACTGTAGCAGCTCAAAAGGAAAAAAAGAAGTAGCAAGTGTGTATATCTTGGCATTTTGTAAGTTTACTGCTGATTTCTATACAATAGATTACCCCTTTAAATGGTGTTGAGAAAACAGAGTAGCTTACATCCAGTTACATCCTTGTACAGTTTTGGTGTA